ATTAGGACAACAAGGAAAATGGGGTCCAACTCAGTACTGGTAAGGTGTTCCTAATATAGTGGCTAACGAGTTTATATACAGGTTTCGCCAAAATTCGATACGTTGACTTTGTGTGTCTATCTCTAAGACTCAGAGGCTCTCATCAGGTGTTTACTTTACCCTCGGCGAGCCTCGTCGCTAACAACACATGCAGATTTTGAGCTGTGAAGAGGCTGACGCATTCTGCACGTGTTTTTTTTTCTTCTCACACACTCGTGCTGTTTTCTGCCATTTCTTCCCCTCACTTTACACCATAACTGAGTAGGAAAGGAACACAGCAGCCCAGGAGTAGCACACCTCAATCTCTTGCACTTGCTCCTCGTTGTTGATGTACATCTGCTGCAGAGAGTCCTCCAGCTCTTTGTTGCGTTCCAGGAGGGTCTTGCCGAGCTCCGCTGCCAAATGCAGGTCTGACGAGAGATGGGAGAGAAGGACAGACATAAGCAGAGTTCGCTCTCAGGGCTTTATGGCTAAAACCAGTTGTTCAGGCTTGTTTGTGGATGACTTAATGAAAACCAAGATAAAGAGAACAGGCACCAAATATTACCGTGCATTTATTTTAAAGATCACAACAGTTTTCTTGCAGATTGGTTTCTCTTCACATCATGCTGATAAAAGCCTGCAGTCGTGCGCACAGCAGGAGCCTGAGCTCTGACAACACCTTAACAGTCGCTGATTTTTTCTGACACAGCGTGAAGCATCCATTATTCATCCTCCTCTGGTGGATAAAAACAAGCTGGACTGAAGAGGAGGAGGAGGAGAATCCTGCTGGCTCTGTATACTTGGAGCCCATAACAAACATGGGGGAGTGGAGGGATGGGAGGAGACAGAGAGGCACTGACATTCATTACTGAGCAGTGAATGGAGTGTTCTTTCAACCCAACGCAGAGGATAAAAACACAAGCCTGCATGCATGCAGTACTGCAGGTGTAAAACGCAAAAGATTAGATCCGATTGGGCTCATTTGCATGTAACACCTCTGCCTTATCTAATATATTTAACAAGCTCCATTTGTGCACGCCGTGCATCCTCTCTGTAGCCTAAAACGCAGCGAGGGGAGGCAAGGACATGCTTCAACAAGACAGAAGAGACAGCAAAACTCCAGCCTGAACCGGAGAGCACTAATGAGCTGAGGAAGAGGCGTTGGAGGAGAGTTCGCACGGCACCTCACAGTCACGGCGCCGCTTCTGTCCCTGTGGCGGGCACGTGCCGAGTCTTCTGTTATATAACTTCTGAGTTCTGTGGAGGAGGCCTTGCTGAGAAAGTCATCCTCATCACAGGGACCGAACTCTAACTCCTCATGCGACAGGCCCCCCCTCACAGGTCAGATGAAGCTGCAGGACTAACCACACCATCTGCCACGACTCATTTTCCATGTTTGCCTGATTCTAATAACCACACAGAGGTAGGGGGTGGGTAGGCGAGGGGGGTGGTGTCACCAAATAGCAGATCCGGCAGCAGAAAAGTTGCATAACGCAGCATCATTTCTGGGGCAAAATGATGTCAGGCTCTAAAGTGCACGCAGTGTATTTGTGTGGCACAGTGAGAGCTTGACGGTAATTACGCTTCCAGTCTGACCCCGAAAAGCCTCAAATCTCTGATCTCCACTAAGGAGGCTTCGTCTGGGTCTCCCTAATCAGATCAGCCTGCAGGATGGGGATAGAGTGGGGTTGGGGGGGGGATGACTTTAGTCTGGATGCTGAATAATGCTGAGATGAAATTCTGATGATGGACACACACACAGGGAGTCAAATCCACCTGCGTCTCCATGCACGCTGCACAATGACACAACAAAGCTGCTTTAGCGCTCTGGGTCAGCAGGTAATCAGGAGATGGGGTGATGCTGCTGCAGGAGGACGCAGGCTTTCCAGAGCACAGCTCTCCTCAGACGCACTCTCAGTGAAACTGCAGCCTTTTAAAGCCATTTACTGGCAGGGCTGGTCACACAGCAGCAAGGAGGAGCAACAATAAACAGTCTGAGCTGCTGCCTTTGCTGCTCTTTGTTTCTTTCATTTTATTCAAAAATCTACAAAGTTCTGGGGATTTGCTGCACTGCTCCTCACACTGTGCTGACCTTTTTGTTAGGAACATACACCCAAAATAATGTCATGCAGCTCCACAGCAAGTGGGCTGATGGATTTGAGAGAGAAAAACAGCTTGAGAGGAGAGGAGAGGAGAGGAGAGGAAGACATTCAGTCAGTCTGACAGGAGGACTGCTGTCCGAACCACCGCTGACAGGATCGGAGTAATTGATGAGATGAAGGGCAGGCAGCTCCAACTCGTGCATGAGTTGCCTTTAAGAGGTGCAACCTCCTCCCGGATTTCCACCCACCTCTAAATGCATGAACACCCGGGGGCCAGCGGTTGCTAATAGAAGAGGGGTGGGGTTGGGAGGAGTGGGCTCACCTTGCTCCAGGTCCCGCTGGTCGTACCACGGCTCCTCTTCCTCCGTGACAAACTCCTCCATCCTCCCCGCGCGAAGCATCGATGCTGCCGAACTTCCTCTTCTTCTCCTCCTCCGCCGGCGATGTGAGCTGCCGGTGGTACCGACTGCTCGCCCGGAAGTGACAACGAACAACAGCTCCCCCCAAATCACTCAGAGAGAGGAAACCTCGGCGGCGGGGACTTCGGTGCACCTGCTCCTTCTCCTTTTTCTTCTCGAAGCGTCCGCAGATATGAAGCACCCCGCATCCGAGCGGCCTCGACGTGAAGCAGGTTGGAGGAGGCTGACAGCGTCTCCACGGTGTCTCATCAGGCTTTGATGTGCAGCAGCAGCAGCGGACGCAGACTGGCAGCCTGGCGGCAGCCGAGTAACCAAACGCTGCTAGTGCTGCGTTTAGGTGCTGTGGGAGAAAAGTGCTGTTTGCAACGATAGTCTTTTGAGATTCTTCTTCTACTGTTCCCTTAAAGAATTCAGTGCTGTTTTTACCCAATCAGTGAGGCTAATAGACTTTTTTAACAGACCATTTTACTGTGCAACACAGCAAATATTGATATTGAGCTGATACCAATATCAGCGTTAGTATCAATACTATTGATATTTGGATTGATCCCGCCACTATCCAAAGCTTACAAAAGAGAGATCTGGCCAAAGGGGGCAGCGGAAATTGAAACAAGTAAAACATAATGGTACTATAAACACATTTTAAGTGGCCAAAAAGAGCTGGATTCTTTATAATGTAGGTAAATTAACACATAATCACGAAGATTAAAATATATACACACCCTCTTCATAAATCATGTTGACTACTGTGTATTTACCAACATAAGCAATGACATTACTCATAAAAAGTGTGGGAGGCTCTTGAGTCCTACGTTAGCAGGAGTTCCTGAAAGCAGCACTACTAAAGATGACATCATCGTTTACTTGACAGCGTCCCCGCCAGGGACGTCTCCTGTACAGTTAATAATAACAACAATAATAAGAGACGTCTCACACTGTGTTTGGTACTTTGTATTCGACACAGACTTTATTGTGAACAATCTGCAGCACAGATTGGCTCCACTGTGGCCACCAGGACTCCCCACAGCTGGGCCTCAGTGGCCATCTTTGCTTTGGGTTTCTTCCC